ACAACAACAACAAAATACAGAATGTTGGGAAAAGCGAGTCTCCGGGTACGGGGCACACATTAAATTGCTTTTGTACAAACGCTGGCTCAGCCATAGGCCAAGCCATTGATTGGTATTAACGCTTAACCTGTTCGGGTTTCTCTGCGTATTTCTTTTGCGAGCTACCTGCTGCTGCTAATCCAGAACGACAGAACGAACCATAGCCCAAAGGCGTTTCCTATAACTACTCTCTCTCTCTCTCTCTCTCTCTCTGTTTCTCTCTCGCTGTCTCTTTCGAGTTCCAGTGTAGAAAGTTGCTCAGTTCGGGCCGTGTCAATGTTGTGACAGATGTAGCTACAGTCTTTGCCATAGCTATAATGTCAAGGACAGTCGCAAGGCAGGCAACCAGCAACAGCAGACAACAACTTCATGTTGCTCATATGGAAAACAGCAACAGCTACAGTCCAACTCAAATTTAAAATATCATCAGCATCATCATCAGTTTGCCCGCACTTCATTAATCATCATGCCAAAACAGACAGCCCCCAACATAGTGAGGCAACAACTTAGAAGCAGACGCAGGCTGCTGCTGCTGCTGCTGCTGTTGCTGCTACACGCATGGCTGCAATCTGCAATAACAGCAACAACAACAGCAGCAACAACAGCAGCAACAACAGCAGTCAGAGGATCAGACAATGGAGTTGCGTTGTCAACGCCAAAATATCAACTCGTCGCATGTAGAAACTATTAGCCAAAACGCCAAAAAACTGTCAGTTGGGCAGGCGGGCGACGACTGATTTTCATTAAAAATTACTTAAAATGAAATCATAAAAATTATTTGGGCAATCAGCATGGGGTTTGTCTTTGTCTTACAAAAACAAAAGCGGGCGCAGAGGCAAATTGGAGACAAAGGCTGTGCAGCATTAAGCAAATCAACAACAATAACAAAACACAGGCAGGCAGGCAGACAGAGGAAGAGAGAGCGAGAGAGGGAGAAAGAGTGAGACAGACATGTGCGATGCGTTGCTTTGGGAGCAACAACATCTTCAGCTTTTGTTGCTTATTTATAAAGTACACACAACCGCATATATTTATATACATACATATATATATTTATATATATATAATGCTGTTGTTGTTTTTTTTTTTCTTCAGCTGCTTTTAAAGAGAAATTATAAAGCGTTTCCTTAGCTGCATCATTAGCAGCGCCAACACCAAAAGTCGCCTAACTAAGTATATGCCAAACGATGCGCCGAGTGCGCCGACTTTTCAGATTGTTGAGATCTCGATCTGTTGCTCTCGTTCACGCTGTCGATCTGTGGCGTTGGCGTTGGCGCATTTTACGCAGTTGCTTACTCAAAATGAAGTGACACACATACACACACATTAATATATATATAGATGATGTGCCTGCAGAGAAGATGCAAACTATCTATATAAAACGCATCGACAGTGGGGCAGCAGATAAAAAAAAAAACAAAACGAAGCATCGCCACATATTTTTAGCGCCCATGTTGGCAGCACTCGAGAGTCAGTCGACTGGGTGAGTGCTCTGCTGCTGCTCGTTTGTTAAAATTCGATGGGCGAATGACATTTTTGAGTTATTTTTGTCAGCCGAAGACGGCAACGGAGACAACAACGACCCCGCCGCGGCAGCAGCAGCAGCAGCATCAATTTAGTGGCCAACTAAGAAAAGACCCAAATGAATTCAAATCGAATCAAATGAAATGCAAGCGACAACTAAGTTGTTGATGCTGTCTATATCTGTAGCATCTACATACATATATATATATAGTTGTGTATATATAGGTATTTGTGTGCGCCTCATTCACTGGGCAAAAGTGTGAAGTAATGTCTGACAACCATTAGAAATTATGAATTATGAAGTTGAGAGATAAATCCAATTAAAATTTAATAATATGAAGCAACCTGAGCCCCCATCTCACGGGCCATGCGAAATTTGTTAACTTCATTCTGGCATTTCATTGACAATTTGACAAAAGTTCATCAAAATCTCGCCCAGCCAAAGGACCAAAAATGTATCTTGATAAATGTGCCTGTTGTTGTTATTGTTGTTGTTGTTGGTTTTATTACCCATGGCAGGCCTGTCAAAATTCCAAATGGGCCATAAATAAAAACATCATTTTTTTTTTTTGTTGGTGTTTGTTGCGAATCAAACTCAACTGGCTAAGAGCAAGAGCAAGAGCAACAAAAGTGAGCCTCCTCTTATATTTTATTTCTCATTTCATTTTTATTTTAAAATGTTTTTTTTTGCCTTTTTTTGTTGTTTTTTGACGCGCCAAAAATGTTGCATCGTGCAACATGAAAATCTCTCTGGATGGAGCCATAAGTTTTGCTCGCCCTCTGAGTGAGCGTCGTTAATGTGATCTCGTTTATATAAATAGAAGGCAGCAAGACAGACAGCGAGAGAGAAAGAGATATGGAGAGGGAGGAAGTGAGCGAAAGAGAGGGAGAGAATGCGCCAGGATGTGCTTACAGCTTGCAACATTATAATTTGTGTGTTAAAACATCGTAAATTATTGAAATGTCAGCGTGGCAAGGAATTACTATAAGCTCGTTCGCTCGCCTTATTTCTCTTCTTTTTTTTTGGGAACTGTCAATTGTGGCAGGAGGCACATATTTGCAACATGTGGCAGGCCAGAGTCACTTGCAATTAGCTGCAGCCACTTGAGCAAGAGAAAGAAAGAGAGAGGGAGAGACGCCGAAATCCGATCATTTAACGGCTTGCTTCGTTAGACTCGTGTGCCGCGAGCTGCTGCTGGCTGTGCCGCATGTGGCACATGTGGCAAGGCTCCAATTACCCCCAAAGTGAACAGCATGACAGAGAGGGCAATAGTAGCCTCTTGGCCTGTTGCCTGCCGACCCTTCTCCTTCTTTCCCTTCTTCTTCTTCCTTGGTATCTTTGCTTACCTGTTTACTGAACATTGCAATATCCTCGTTAAACGATTCCGACGAACAAACATCGCCACCTTGCACGCCAGGCTCTCTCGGCGTACATGTGGCCAATTCGCATTTCTCGAATATGAGCGCTAAGAGCGGGAATAGTGGATGTCTGCAAAATGAAAGAGATAGATTAGATTATTATTAATATTTATTATTATTAATATTTCACTTTTATAAATTGTACTAGCAGTATACTAATCTAAAATATTTTATTATAGTTCTATTTATTCTACTCTTTATTATTATAATTTATATTTCAACAGATTAATAAACCGAAAAGAGTTGGATTAAGATTTGTGCCGATTTAAGTTAAGGTCGACGGCAATGCCATATCTATGTATATGTATGTACCATATATATTCATGAGTTAGAAACATTATTTCCCAGTGGATTGCCAGCTGCTTTTAACTATTTCCTGCCATGCAAATGAACAGCAGCTGTTTCGTTTCAGCCTAAGGACAAAAAACCGAAACCAACAGAATATACGTCCACATCTACATATAATCCCTCCAATTATGACCTGGCCCTACATTTTGACGGATTAGTTCAGCAACTATGCATGATTTGACCATTTTTTGTTTTCTATTTTCGGCTGGTTACCCTCTCTTCCTCTCTCTCTCTCTCTCTCTCTCTCGCTCACCTATTGTTTTTTATTGTTGTTAACTGCTCTTCACGCTCCAAGCACAAATTGCACCTGAACAAAATTAGGCAGCGAGCGAGTGAGCGAGCGAGCGAACCCTCTCCGCAACCGTCGGGGCTGCTCCTTGGCCCTGCCCAGGCACTCTTCATTTGGTCATTAGATGGCACAACTGACCATTGGCCACTGGCGAGGCGAGGGTGTAGCCGTGCGCTTAACAACTATTAATAAGCGGACCATGGCCCGAAACCCCTGAACTCTGCAGCAACAACTGCTAATGCCAAGGCCCTTGCGCTTTTTACAGTCGAGTGCGCAGAGCACCAGCAGCAGCAGCAGCAGCAACGGCAGAGTTTCCATTCCCATTTCCCATTCCAACTTTCAATTCCATTTCCATGCCCTTTGCCGCTGGCCAGGATCGAGCCAAGCAACAACGAAAAAAGTGTGCACTCATTTGCCATGACTTGGCATTTGTGACAGGCAGCTGAAGTTGTTGCTGTTGCTGCTGTTGTTGCAGCACTCCACTCGAGAAGGTGTTAAGAGAGTTCTGCGCATGTTCATTTTTATTGTAGCGGCTGCTTTTTTCATTCGTCCATTTCTTATTGTTGTTATTATTATTTTTGTGTCTGGCTGCCGCTTTCAAGGTGTCAATTGTACAAATAAGAAGCGCATTTTCGAGTTTTTATTTACAGTGCCGATGACTGTGGCAGTGGCTGTGGCTGTGGCCGTTGCAGGTGGCACAGTCAAAGTCCCAGCCAAAAAGTGTGCTAATGAAGTCATGCGCCATGTTTGCTCACCCACTTGAGACTGCGATAGTAGAGGATGAGCACGGAGGCTCATCAAACAGTCAGCGACCAACAGCTGATTGATGGCAGCTCAAAGTTAACTCATTCATAAAATTGCCGGAGAAAAAAAACACACACACAAAAAATGAAGCAAATATTTGCTTATTAAAATGCGAATACAAAAACGAGCCAAAGACAAACAAGGTTCAAGCAGCTGTCCCCGGGTCCGGCCATCGTCAGTTGCAGCACATGAAAATTGCCAGTTGGCAGGACGCACGCAACTGCAGAAATGCGAATGACACGAGCAGAGCGTGTCCTACGCTGCCTGCTCCTTGATCAAGTTAGAAAAAGCCGAAACCGCATTTTGGCAACTTAACACCGAACAGAAGGCACAACAACAACAACAACAACAACAACAGTAACAATAACAACCTGCTGCTCATTTGGAATGGACTCCCTAATGCCTAAGCACGTTCGTTGTGCCGTGTCCGTCACTAAACACGAGCCACACCCCCCGATCTGCAGCCACAACCGCACTCGGAGCCCACAAATTAAAAAAGAAATTCTCTTGCCAAAAGGAAACCCATAATTTTGTATTTTGCGCAAAACACAGAAGGTCACGCCCAGCCAAGAGAAAAACATTTTGTATTTTTTGTTCTCTGTTGCTCGTTTTCAAATTTTGTTTGCTCTGCAGCAGGATCGTGGGCATTGAGTCGCGTGTGTGTTAAATTATGTTACTCCCTCGCCTCGCATTTATATATGTA